TAAATAATAATAATTCTAATCTTAATTTACTTAATACCTAGCTTACTAGCTAACTATCTAATTTAGATACTAGTATAGATTCTTCTAATAGTGCTTCTTAAGTTACTATTAAATTAAATAAATATAGAGGTAATAAATATAATAAATCTACTTATAGATTAAATAATAGTAGCCTTAGTACTACTTATATCTTTAAATATAGTTTATTTACTAAAGAACTATTACCTATTAATTTTAATAAACCTAGAGAGTTTAAAATAACTTATTCTCTTTGCTTATCTAATTATAAAAGAATTATTCCTTTTAAGGATTTTTTAACTTCTAATTTTGCTATATATTATAGAAGATATTATCCTACTATAGCTATTAGATAAGAAGAATATAATACTAAATAGACTATAGAAGACTATAATATAGAATAAGTATTAATTACTAGCTTTATTAATAATCTAAATATTTCTATTATCTCTTTATTTACTAGAGTAGCTAGTAGTCTAGATACTAGAAAATATATAAAATCTAGTACTAATTATAAGTTTCTATAAGAAGAAGCTCTATATTTAATTCTAGCTTTTATTATAGATAATAATCTATTTTTTAATATTTTAGATTCTTAATCTTTTAGAGACTTATTAGAATATTATAATTATAATACGCCTAAAGCTAACCATAATAACGTTAAAAAGCTATTAGATATAACGTTTAATAACTCTCTTAAAATATTTAGATTAGAAGTTAAATAAGTAATAAAAAATAGAAATTACTTCTTTATTACTTTAGATACTTAGACAGCTAGTAATTAAACTGCCTTTTTAGGTATAATATTAATATATATTAATAATAATATAAAATTATAATATAAGTTAATAGGATTTAAAGAGTTAACTAAAAGCTATACTAGTATTTATATTTCTTAAGTATTTAATACTTATTTAATTAATTATAGTCTAAATATTTTAAATATTATTAATATTACTAGAGATAATACTAGTAATAATAATACTCTAGTAGATTAATTAAAACTTAAAGCATTTTCTAGAGACTCTATAAGTTTTTATAATATTCATTATACTACTTATATTATTAATTTAGTAGCTAAAGAAGTATTAAAACGTTTTCTAGCTTCTTATAATATAGAAGTTAATTTAATAGCTTATATTAATATACTATTAAGTTTAAAAGATAATAATAATAAAGAAGATAATATAGAAAGTAAAGATAGTACTAAGCCTTTAAGTTTAATACAAAAAGTAAGAAGAATTATTACTTCTATTAAATACGTAGGAGTTTATAAAAGATTATTTATTACTAGTCTATATATTTACTATTATAATAGTAAGATTCCTAATACTACTAAAATTAATAAAGTAGCTTTAAATAATAATACTAGATAGAATTCTACTTATTATATTCTTAATTCTTTTATTCTTCTTAAAAAATATATTTTATATATTTTTAATAATATAACTAAGTAAAAGTTTAGAAATTAATTATTATTAACTAATA